GCCATTCCTTTACCACTTTTGATGTGTGTTTGGGGTCATTGTCCTGTTGGAACACTCAACTGCGCCCAAGACCCAACCTTCGTGCTGATGATTTTAGGTTATGTTGAAGAATGTGAAGGTAATCCTCCTTCTTCATTATCCCATTTACTTTCTGTAAAGCACCAGTTCCATTGGCAGCAAAACAGCCCCACAGCATAATATTCCCACCACCATGCTTGACTGTAGGCATGGTGTTCTTGGGGTTAAAGGCCTCACCTTTTCTCCTCCAAACATATTGCTGGGCATTGTGGCCAAAAAGCTCGATTTTTGTTTCGTCTGACCACAGAACTTTCCTCCAGAAGGTCTTATCTTTGTCCATGTGATCAGCAGCAAACTTCAGTCGAGCCTTAAGGTGCCGCTTTTGGAGCAAGGGCTTCCTTCTTGCACGGCAGCCTCTCAGTCCATGGAGATGCAAAACACGTTTGACTGTGGACAATGACACCTGTGTTCCAGCAGCTTCTAATTCTTGGCAGATCTGCTTTTTGGTGATTCTTGGTTCACTCTTTACCCTCCTGACCAATTTTCTCTCAGCAGCAGGTGATAGCTTGCGTTTTCTTCCTGATCTTGGCAGTGATGAAACAGTGCCATGCACCTTATACTTACAAACAATTGTTTGCACTGTTGCTCTTGGGACCTGCAGCTGCTTTGAAATGGCCCCAAGTGACTTTCCTGACTTGTTCAAGTCAATAATTCGCTTTTTCGGATCCATGCTGAGCTCCTTTGACTTTCCCATTGTAGCGTTTGTGGGCGTTTGTATCCAATGAGCCCTATTTACCTGGCCTAAGAGAAGTCACCAGCTGTAGTCAGTCATAATCACTCACAAGAAGTTAAGAGGCCATGCTATGAAGCTCAGTTCACTGACACGTTTCTAAGTCACCTAAATTGCTAGTTCATGTTGCTGTATGTATATTTGTGACCCAGCAAATGTGACCACTTTTCTCTGTTAACCCATAATAAAGACATTAAAGAACCAAACTTCATGAATGTTTTTTGTGACAAAGAAGTATCTGTTCCAATCACTCTATCAGAGAAAAATCAGAGTTTTAGAAATAACGGGACACTCAGTAGAGCCATTATATTATATTTTTTACAAGTGTATGTAAACTTCTGACCACAACTGTAGATTCCAGCCAGTCGAGCAGATTCAGTGAAAACCACGTTTTAATGGTTATTTCTGATTCTAACGGGTCACTCTGAGTGTTTCATGCAGGCTGAACATGAAAATAGTCTCCTACACCTATCTCCTGCAGTAGCTTCTGATAGAAAACAGACGGTGAAACTCTAGGATATAAAATCCTGACAGATCTACGTCACACTGTCACTAACATTCATGGACTCACCCATCTGGGCTCACGACAGGGAAGGCTGTTGTTGGTTTAGCGTCTAGGAAACAGCAGAGCATGTCTCAGCTAGTAGAAGCTAACCATTAGCATTAGCAACTGCACCACACAGCAGAACTCCTCCAGGTTATTGTTATTATTGGAGATAAAACATCAATGTTGCAAAGGAAACTGAGTCAGTGGTAGAGTTGAGTTGTTGTTAGCCAATCAGAGGAGAGACGTTCACATATCAGGAAGTAAGACTCCAGATCCTGTTGTCTGAAGCTACTTCCTCCTCTGGCTGACCTCTACGTCCTGAAACTTAAAAGGCATTCATTCCTACTAGAGACCACTGCAGATGTATTAAAAATAAGGGTCATGTTGATCTTTTAAAGATCCCGTCATCTCACCCAGTCAGACCAGGAAAAGCAGCAAATTAACATGTTTCCTTTCTTTTTCCTGACAAAAAACATGTTTGAATAAATGAAAATGCTGATAAATAATTATTTATTTTTTAACAATTATTTTGGCACCAAAACCACAAAAAATGATTAAATTTATTTAAATATATTTTGTATATTTTATGCATTAATATATACGGGCTGGGACGCATTTCTCTACGTAATTTCTGCCACCCTTTGTCTCTGCTCAGAGTGAAATGCGTTTAAAATCTGCAAATAAATATTCAAACTGAACTAAACAGAAAAAGACACCCTAGTTGGAAAATTGCTGAAGTTTGTTTTATTTATTAAATGCAACTTTATGCTACCGTTTGATGCTTTAGCTGAATTCCAGATCGAAATCTTGAAGATGAGAAGTCCCGTCCATCCGACACCATGTGATGAGCGGCAGTGACCTCTGACCCCATGCAGCAATCACTTCTTATACAAATAGAGCTAGTTTATGTAAAAGTACTTGCTCTGAGTACGCAGTATTTGTGAAGTTTGTGTGATTCCTAAGACGATGGGAGTCTGAACGTGAACTTGCTCGGCTCTATACGTTTGGAACGGTCGCCTCTCCTGGGACTGACGCTCGCATCTCCTCTGTCTCTCCCATCTTCTCTCTTCACCTCTCTCTCTCTGACTGCGTGACGTGCAGAGGGCACCTGTCCTCAACAGACAGCAGTTTTCCTGCCATGACTATCTCAGACCTCACAGAGCTCTTTATAATTAAAACTCAATTAATTAACTCTCACAGCCGCTGCATATGCGCTAAAACCTTCTGAGCCTGGCTCATGGGACGCTACACAAAGTAGAAACATTTTACTGAACTAAAACTTAAATAGCAAGTCACCCCTGAAGCGCCCTGAGTGTAGATGGGTGTCATTACTTTGGCCTTTCTGTAAATATTTAAAATGTTGTAAAGTTTTTGCCTAAAAATCAAACAAAGTTTTCACGAAATACAAACTATGTTTTAAAGCTCTTAAGTTAAAAATAAAATGTTTTAACGTTTTAAGCTGTTCATTTAAAAGTAGGTTCCTGTGATTGTTGAGGGAAAGACTTCACCACCATGGGCGCAGCCCTCTGCTGACCAGAAGCCACACTAACGAGCAGGTAGGTTCCCTAGGGGGAGCTCTCTTCCTGTAGTTGCTAGATGTTTACCTAATGGAAGCTAAAACAAAGGCTAGCAGTTGGCTTTTTCAGTTAGTTGACCGATGATCAAAAGCCCCAGAAGAAGTAAAAGAAGTTTTCTTTTGTTGCTGGCATCATGGCGGAGCCTGGAAGTAAAAGTAAGAGAGTAATGTCTTAGGAAGTGAAGCGAAAAGCTAAATCCAGAGTGAACATTGGTGCAGCCTACTCTAGTTTGAGGGAGCTAAAGGAGGATATGACATCACGGACTGATGATGACCTGGCTTTGTTGCTATTGGACAAGTAAGTAATACACTTTTTTTGTCAGACAGTGTGGGTTATTTTACTTCCTGGTTTATTTTAGAATCAGTTGGCTCTCGTTAGCGTTAGCTTGTTGTTAGCTATTGTCATGAGCCGGGGTGAGTACTCCTGTTCTCATAACCATCTGTGAGTCTCTTGCCAGGAGAGGGAGTGGCCCAGCTGTTCCTGATCAGCAATCAGCGGGGTGCCTTCCTATTTAAGGTGGATTGTGGACACACTTCGACGCCGGAAGATTGCCTCTGTTTTGGTAGTAACCAGCCACTCGTGTGATCTCTAGTGTTCTTAGGATAAATGTTTTTCGTAGTGTTTTGCGCTTATATTGGATTTACCCTTCCTCAGGATTCCTGTAGACCTCCTCGGATTCTGACCTCTACCAGGATTTTGGATCTTCAGCATGCGGACCATATCACCACCGCCATAACCCACCTCTCATCTCACCCAGTGCCCCATCCACCAGGACGCCCCGCTTCTCTCCACCTCTGCTCCCTCTCCTGCGCTTCCCCGGCTCTCTACCTCTCCCTCCTCCTGCCAACACATACACCCCCCCCACAGTAAGTCTGCTGAACACCTCTGCCTGCCTACAAAGGATTGTGACACCAGAACCTTTGCTCACCCGTGTTCTCCCTCCTCCAGACGCTGAGCTGATTGTTGCAGTTTCAACCACAGAATTATCTGTGCATCTTCAGTTTCCCCTTTAAATAAATCATTTTTTCATCCATGTTTGGTCAGTGTTGTGTTCTGCATGTCTTGGGTTAGTTACCTTCCCCCAATCATGACAGCTATGATGATTTCCGTCTGCTAACATTTGCATGAATGTATAACCTTCAGCCCAGTTCTCACTGCCTTAACAGAAACAAACACACCTCGGTGTAAACGGTGACGACAAACAGAAACTTTAAAGATGGTGCTTCCAGGATGTTTGGCTGGTTGTGAAGAAATGGGCCAAATTCAGGGATTAAACACAAAACCAATGAGCCTCGTTGTTCTGCCTGCATCACACGTCACTCATAGTGACAACGATGAATTTCTTTGTGGTACAATTGGTAAGTGATGTCTCGGTTGGCTCTGAACCAGTGACAGATGTTTGGGCCTCTCCAGTTACTGTACTGCTGTTTGTGCACTCACAACTCATCGGACATGATTTACTCCTGATTGGTTTCCTTTTCCCGCTGTTTAACTTTTTCTGAAGACAACGCTGGACCGATAAACAGAGGTGCAGCTTGCCTCCAGCCAGAAGCATATGTTGGGTTTTTGGCCACCGGGCTTTTTTCATCAGTAGAGGAAAGTGTTCTCATAATTAATTTTATTCTTACTGATGTGTTTGTGCTGCATAAGCAGAGGCAGCACTTTAAAACTGAAGCAGTTTAACTGGGAAAAACAACTAAGTGGCGAGGAATCGTGTGCATTGCTGAAGAGAAGCGTAAAACACCGCGGAAGCCGTACACAGATCAGCTGAGGCCGGCAGCAAAAGCTGCTCAGACACTTTAAATGGTTTTATCTTCTAAACAATTCCTCTGAGCTTTTCTGATCCACGGTCCAGAAAAATGTGAGTGCAGCAACAGTTAATGTCATCTTTCAGCAGCCCACCCTGCAAACGTGAGCTCTCCGCTAGAAGAGTTTGTACAGCAGATAAACGAAGGAGTGAAGGAGAAGAGTGAGATGGAGGGAGGAAGAGAGGCCCGTATTGGCCATCTGAGTGAGAGGGGTTGGTCTTTCTCCATCTTTCTCTCCTCCTCCGCTGAGAGGCAGAGCGAGGAGCTGAAAAACGGAGTCCGTGCGAGGATGAGGAGTAAGAGCGTCCAGGACGGAGAGAAGGCAGCGGCATGAAGAAGAAACAAAGTCAGGACTTGATCAGACGTGGATGACAACAGCTGTTCACATCTGTTGGAGATGGCGGGACCGATAAGTCAGGAGCCTCTAAAGGTGACGTTTAAAACCCTCTGCAGTTTATTTTCTCTTCATTCAGTTTCCCTGTTTTTATGCAAAAACCTCAAATAAATCAGTTTGAAGCTTCAAATGTTTCGTTTTATCTTCACTCTGGATCTTTGGCTGCTGCATGTGATTAATATGCTTAACTGTCTTGTTGTATGACGGTTTAAATTGTAGGGTTTGGTAAACTGAGCGCTTTAAGAGATCAATATATATTACCTCTACTTATGACCAATAAGCTGTGATACTCTATATAAATATAGACTATCAACCCTGCCTGGTCTTTGTGTGTTCATCAGAAGATTCTAGGATTCTTTATTTATTAGGGGATTGTACACACTTCGTTTTGATTCAGGAAACAGTCAGGTTTATAAAAGTAAGAATTTATTTTACCAACAATTGAACGTGACAAATTAACTAACATTTACTGTGATGGATGGAACTAGATATGATGTATGAACCTTTGTGTGAATGCGATGTTATCAGAACTTCTGTGTCTTGGAGAGCTGAGTTCTGGATGTAAAAGAATTTGGTTTGCGTTAAGCTATGAAGTGATTATTATCAAAAGCACATCAGACGCTATCTGTGTGTCTACTTCACCCATTTTCGGAGACCCTCTTGGTGGATCTGAAGGTCTGAGAGGTCGGATGGCCGTTATCTGTGTTCAGAGCTGCAGGCTCTGAGCTCCAGCTGGTGGGATGAAGGCAGGCTGATTTAAAGGAGACACATGCAGTCTCGTGTCTCCGTTTTGACCAGATGTTGAATGGTCAAACTGTACCTGAAACTGACCATTGCTGGACGTTACAAAATAAAAGCATAAATATGTTGATGTTACCATTTATTTAACTATTTCTGATCCTTTATTTCATTTTAAAATCCTTCAACCTGGAGAAAGAATCCAAGAACCTTCATTTAAATGTTATATAAAGTTTATTAGCAACACAAACACAGTAAAATTAAATAAAATTAATGAATTAAAATTATGTAACTAATGTAATATTTAGAAAACAACATAAACATTTCATTTTATTTTATTTACAGAAATTAAATAGAAGTCTGCTGATTATTTATCAGTTGATTGCTTGCTTGATTGATTGATTGATTGATTGATTGATTGGCATCAAGAGGAGCCAGTTGAGGTGGCTCGAGCATCTGGTTAGGATGCCTCCTGGACGCCTCCCTGGTGAGGTTTTCTAGACACGTCCAACCAGGCGGAGACCTACAGGAGGACCCAGGACACGTTGGAGGCACTACGTCTCTCACCTGGCCAGTGAACACCTTTAGGATTCCTCTGGAGGAGCTGGACCAAGTGGCTGTTGAGAGGGAAGTCTGGGCCTCCCTACTTATGGGCCATTCCCATCTGTACCGGGTCGGCCCGGGCCGGGTAGCGTAGGTTGTTTACATATCTGGGTGGCCTGGTATTTTTCCGGGCCAACCAAGGCTCATTCTCAGCCCTCTTCTTGAGGGGGTCTGCTTCAGGCCGACCAGGGCCAACACACCCACTGCTGACAGCAAATTCACACCTTCCATTAGAGCAAGCCTCTGATTGGTGGGTAGAATCAGCCCACATGGGCTTAAGACAAGGATGTGTGGAATCAACCGGGCCAGGCTGGGGCCGACTGGGGCTACCCGGCCTGGGCCAACCCGGTATAGATGGGAATGGCCCATTAGGCTGCTGCCCCCATGATCCGACCCCGGATCAGTGGAGGATAATGGATGGATGGATGATTTATTTGTTTGTTTATTCATTGGTTTAAAGCATTTACCTAACATTGATTCCTTAAAATATTTGACTTTTTCCTAAATTAGTATTTTTTTATTTAGCTACGGTGTTTCTGGATTAAAAAATATCAAATATCTTGTTTTTATTACTTCTTACTTCCTAATCCCGATAGAAATGGGTTTAATTCGACTACTAATGAATTTCTTTGCTGCCGTCCGACACAAGCTGTTGTGCTTTAGGGTGATTCGGTGACTGCTGGCGGTGGGTCTTGTTCTGCAAAATAAAGTTGCATTCCCCTGCAGCCGTCCACGTGTCAAGCACGGTCCTCGACTCTGCTAAACGTGGTGAAGTGCTCGGTGTTCTCGGTGGACAGCAGACAAGCAGCAGGTGCATCCCGCCAGCACAGGTTACAAGGCCCCGTTTCCTGAGACGAATAGGAGCGAGTGAGCGACAAGGCTGGAGAACGTCCTCCACCTCACATCCACCATGACACTCTGCTGTTTATCATTTCGTCTTGATGAAATATGTGTCTGGGGGACTTTTTGTCTGAGGAAATCTTCTGCTCGTGCATCCATATGCATCAGGGCATGAGAGCTGACCGGCCTGAACAAACCCTCAAAACAGAATAAGTAATGGGATGTTGACAGCCCACAACCTGACAAAGCCCAACAGGGCGGCGAGCCGGATGAGAAAAATCTGCAGGTGTCAGCAAACCGAAGTGCCTTGCTGCACTCCTGAAACTAAAATTTAAGAGTCCTCCGGCTGGATTGGGCTGCAGAGTTATAACGTCTGTCAACCCCCACTGTCAATCCACACTTATTGCAGCCTCCGAGCCAAGACTGCACACACACACACACACACACACACACCAGCAGAACCTTTAATATTGCTTATCATAAAGGCAACACTGGCTGGAGCTCATAAGTTTCCTGTCAGCTGGGAATGTCTCCGACAACAAGCAGGGCGTCACCGGGAAGCATGAACCAGAACTCTGTTTATTCCTCACAGCCGTATCCATCAGCTTCCATCTCCCGATGTTCTGTCACAAAAAAAAGAGGGTTTCTGACGGATCGAACCCTGAGAGCGTCCAAATCTGCAGCCAAGTTGCGGATTTAAGGGTCACTACTGTTGCATAGTAGTTGTTGTATTGATCCTGAATCCGAACCTCTAATTAATCTTATTGACTGAGAACATGAGCATTAAAGGGCTGATCTTTCATCCGCTGCACCTCCAGCTCTAACCATCGACTCCTGTTGATGTGTGTGTGTTCGTCTTCCAGACCCAGCAGAAGTGCGTCGCCACGCTCGCTCTTCTTTGCTGCTTCGCTGTGCTGATGGTGCTGATCTTCTCGTCGGTGGACATTTGGGGGGACGATGAAGATGGAATCACAGAGGACAACTGCAGCAGAGACTGCCAGTGAGATAGAAGCCGGGCGTGTTTTGAAACGTTCAATGAGAGGCCTCGGGTTATTATTCTCAGGTCTAAACCGTCGCATTTCTATGTTCTCGTAAAGATGTGAGAATTTTCTGCTGCTGGATTCAGTTTTGTTCAGGTCTGACTCTTCTTTTGTTGACTTCATTTTCTAGTTTATGTCAATTCTGCACAACATGTTCAGCAACAAGAAGCCAACAGAAAATGACCGAAAAAGCTGTTAAAACGTTAAAAAGGAGGCCGTTTGGACTTCCTGGAAGTAAACAATAGAAATTTTAAAGATAGTTTGAAACTTTTGAACAGCGTTGGAATATTTTAGTTTCACTCAGAACAAAAACACATGGATGCCAGTCACACATCAGCCCTCTGGTCCAACCGTAAAGTACGTGGAACAAGGTTCTGTCTAGAACCTTCTGCAGACACACAAACACTCTCCCCAAAATCAGCTCAGAGTCTCCTTTAGAGGTCATTTCACATAAACATGAGTCACATGGGCGAGTGATGTCACTGTAAACAAAGTTAAGCTGTAATGTGAAGTATCATGTCACATTTCATCCATGAAGTTTCTTAACCCTCCCACTGTCCTAATGAGGCAGGGGTGAGGAGTGAGCACCACCTCACCCCTGCCTTGTGGACCTCAAGGGAGAAACCATCAGTCCTGCTCAATGGTCAAAGTTCCTCGCGGGGTCACACCCATTAGGACAGTGGGAGGGTTAACCCTGATGGGTGTGACCCCTGAATGCCTGAATTTGTTCAAAGTCTGCCAACTTTATTTTTGTCTGAATTTGGCTTCTTAATGTCTCTGGGGCGCTGGCCAATAGCGCCGCTGCTGCAGAAAACAGCTAGTTAGCATGCTACAAGATGCTGGATCTCCTCTCTCTCTCTCTCTCTCTCTCTCTCTCTCTCTCTCTCTCTCTCTCTCTCTCTCTCTCTCTCTCTCTCTCTCTCTCTCTCTCTCTCTCTCTCTCTCTCTCTGTGTCTCTCTCTTTCTGTCTGTCTCTCTCTCTCTCCTTCTCTCTCTTTCGGTCTCTCTCTGTCTCACTCTTTTTCTCTCTCTCTCTCTGTGTCTCTCTCTGTCTGTCTCTCTCTCTCCTTCTCTGTCTCTCTCTCTGTCTCTCTCTCTCTCCTTCTCTGTCTCTCTCTCTCTCCTTCTCTGTCTCTCTCTCTGTCTCTCTCTCTCTCCTTCTCTCTCTTTCGGTCTCTCTCTGTCTCACTCTTTTTCTCTCTCTCTCTGTGTCTCTCTCTTTCTGTCTGTCTCTCTCTCTCTTCTTCTCTCTCTCTCTCTGTCTCTCTCTCTCTCTCCTTCTCTCTCTTTCGGTCTCTCTCTCTCTCTCTCCTTCTCTCTCTCTCTCTGTCTCACTCTTTTTCTCTCTCTCTCTCTGTGTCTCTCTCTCTCTCTCTCTCTCTCGTCTGCGTTGAAATTGAAGTTCACCGATGCTGGGATTGTAAAGTTTGGTCACTTACTGAAGATCCCGGCTGGAACCTGTCAGGTTCGTTGGCAGATCTGAAACGTGACTGAGAGTTCTGTTGTCCAGACGCGGAGAGACGGAGATAACCAGCGTGGTTATTTCCTGTATAGGTTGAGCTTGAGGGTTTAGAGGGCTGGTAAGCCTGGAGACTCGAACCAAAATCTGGGGAGAACGATGACTGAGCAATGAATGGAACGCCGGCACTTCCTTAAGTAGTGTCGGCGTGATGACGTCAGTCGCCACGTTGGTGGCAGGAATGAATGGAATGCAGTCAGCTGGAGAAGTTCGTGACAGGACCCCCCCCCCCCCCCCCCCCCCCCCCTCTAGGGACGGCTCCCGAAGTCCCAGGACGGCGGGCCCAGAAGTCTGTTAGCAGGGTAGGGTCGACAAACGAGCTCGTGGGCTCCCAAGAGCGTTCCTCAGGCCCGTACCCCTCCCAGTCCACGAGGTACTGCCAACCTCGTCCCCGGCGGCGAGCGTCCAGAATCCTGCGGACGTTGTAGGTGCGATCCGCCTCAACACCGCGGGGCGGAGGCACCCGGACCGGTGGAGGGTGGAGAGGAGAGGAGATCACCGGCTTAAGCTGGGAGACGTGAAAGACCGGGTGGATCCGGAGAGTAGCCGGGAGGCGCAGATGGCAGGTGACTGGATTGATGACCTTGAGGACAGGGAACGGACCCAGGAAGCAAGGAGTGAGCTTCCGGGAGCCAGCCGGCATCCTCAGGTTAGCGGAGGAGAGCCACACCTGGTCGCCAGACCGGAAGACGGGGCCAGGCCGGTGGCGGCGGCGATGCTGACGGGCATACTCCGTGTTGGCCCGGGTGATGGCCGCACGGGCCCGGATCCAGGCAAGCCGACAGCGGCGGACCAGCGTCTGGGCAGCAGGGACCTCCACCTCGGGCACCTGATGATCAAACAGAGGAGGCTGATAACCGTAACAGGTCTCGAAGGGAGACAGACTCGTGGCAGAGGAGGTCTGGAGGTTGTGTGACAGCTCCGCCCACAGGAGAAAGAGGGGCCAGGTGGTCGGCTGGGATGAAGCGAAGCAGCGCAGGTAGCGTCCAAGCTGCTGGTTAGCTCTCTCTGTCTGACCGTTTGTCTGCGGATGGTATCCAGAGGACAGACTGGTGGAAGCACCGACCAGGCGACAGAACGCTTTCCAGAAGCGTGAGACGAACTGGGGTCCTCGGTCGGAAACCACGTCCTGAGGGAAACCATGGAGCCGCACCACCTGTTCCAGGAGCAGTTCGGCCATCCTCTTGGCTGTGGGGAGGCCGGCCAGGGCCACTAAGTGCACGGCCTTGGAGAAACGGTCCGTGATAGTCATTATAGTGTCCAGGTGGTCGACCGCCGGGAGTCCCGTGACAAAGTCCAGCCTGATGTGTGACCACGGCCGCTTGGGCACAGGGAGAGGCTGCAACTCTCCAGCGCCGGGTCGGTTGGAGGACTTGGAGCGAGCACACACATCACATGCAGCAGTGAACTCGCGGACGTCCTTCCTCATGGACGGCCACCAGAGAGCCCGACGGAGGAACTGGAGGGTACGGGCTTGTCCTTGATGTCCCGCGAGCCGTGAACAATGCCCCCACGTGAGCGCCTCTTGCCGGCAGGAGGCGGGAACGTAGAGACGGTTCGGTGGGGTCTCCGGTGGCGCTGGATCGCCAGGAAGTGCCGCCTGTATGGACTGCTCCAACGGCCATTGGAGGGAGGCCAGGAAGCGTTGAGTCGGTAGAATGGTCCGAGGCTCCGGGGGGCCGGCATCCGGTGCGAAACGCCGAGAGAGAGCGTCCGCCTTGAGGTTCTTGGAGCCGGGCCGGTAGGCGATATGGAAGTGGTACGGCTCGAAAAAGAGGGCCCACCGAGCCTGACGAGGGTTGAGCTGGCGGGCAGTCTGTAGATGAATGAGATTCTGGTGGTCGGTCCAGATCAGAAAGGGATCGGTGGTCCCCAGGAGCCACTGCCTCCATTCCTCCAGCGCCCATTTTATTGCCAGCAGTTCTCTGTCGCCGACCCCGTAGTTCTGCTGTGTGGGGGAAAACTTCCGGGAGAAGTAGGCACATGGGTGGAGCTTAGAGTCTGGACCCCGTTGCGAGAGAACAGCCCCCGCTCCCACATCCGAGGCGTCCACCTCCACGACGAAGGGCCGGGTCTGGTCCGGGTGGAGGAGGATGGGTTCTTTAGTGAAACGTCCGACCAGCTCATGGAAAGCACGGACAGCCTCTGGAGTAAGGCGAAAAGGGCGAGGCTGATTGGTGGTTTTGGTGAGTGAGGTCAGAGGTGCTGCGAGGGAGCTGAAGTTGCGTATAAACCTCCGGTAAAAGTTCGAGAAACCCAGGAAGCTTTGCAGCTGCTTCAGGGTCGTGGGTAGAGGCCACTGAGCTACGGCCTGAACCTTCTGGGGGTCCATCTTCAGGCCCTGGGAGGAGATGGTAAAACCCAGGAAGGAGGTGGACTCCTGGTGAAACGCACACTTCTCCAGTTTGCAGTAAAGTCCATGGTCCAGGAGGCGGGACAGAACAGCTCGAACATGACGGATGTGCTCTTCGGCCGTGCGGGAGTAGATGAGGATGTCATCTAGATAAACAAAGACCCAGCGACCCAACATGTCTCTCAGCACATCTGTAATGAACCGCTGGAAGACGGCGGGGCTGTTGCAGAGTCCAAAAGGCATCACCAAATATTCATAGTGGCCAGTGGGCGTGATAAAAGCGGTCTTCCACTCCTCACCTTCCTTAATACGGATGAGGTTATAGGCGCCGCGCAGATCCAGTTTAGTAAACACTGAGGCTTGTGTGATGGCGTCCAGAGCGGTGCCCATGAGAGGGAGAGCGTGACGGTCCCTGATCGTTATTTTATTTAACCCTCGATAGTCTATGCAGGGCCGGAGATCCCCCTCCTTCTTCTTAACAAAGAAAAACCCCGCGGCCCCGGGGGATGTTGAGGGTCGGATGAATCCCTTCTGCAGGGCATCAGTTATATAATTGTCCATAGCCCGGGTTTCCGCCGGAGAGAGGGAGAACAGGCGACCCCGAGGGGGGGTGGTGCCGGGCTGGAGCCTGATCTCCAGGTCGTAGGGTCGGTGAGGAGGTAACCTGGTAGTGGGTTCTTTAGCGAAGACCTGAGCGAGGTCGTGGTGTTGAGGAGGGATGAGCGTCAGGTCTACGTCTGTGGGAGGGGCTGCTCCAGTCCGAGGTGCAGGGGAGTCCCGGTGGTTATGGCAACCCGTGCCCCAGGCCAGGACTTTACTGGTGGACCAGGAGATGTGAGGCTCATGGCGGCAGAACCAGGAATGACCCAGGATGAGAGGCGTAGCCGGAGCCTGGATGACCAGGAAGTGGAGGGTCTCACGGTGTTGGTCAATAGTCATGTGGAGACTCTGAGTTCGGTGGGTGAGAGGGTACGGCATGATGGGCCGGCCGTCCACAGAGGTCACGGGAATGGGTCGGTCGAGGGCGGTGAGGGGTATCTTGAGCCGAGTAACCAGTCCATGATCGATAAAACACTCCGCAACCCCAG